TTGCTGCACTACCTCTCCTTTAGGACTGATTTGTCCTTACCAGAGAGGCTACAGTGGTAATTAATATTTACATTATGGTAGTGCCCACAACCCTGATCATGATTAGGGCTTACTGGACTAAGCTCTGTATAAATGTCACCACAGTCCCTCGTCCCAGCAGTTTAACCTCTGAGAAAAGAAGCGGTATCTCCTGCTCAGCCACAGTTTCTCACTTAATGCTGGAAACTTTTCCCGGACTATTAAGCCTTCAGCCATTAAAGGCATTTGTGCAGGGAGCGCTGTTGCTCGAGGTAACTTTCCAAGCTACTTCATATTCTAGAAGCAAAACAGGGAATGTGGATTCCCAAACCACCCCGTGTATTTTCCTCACAGCCTGCACCTATCAAGATGCATCTGAAATGATGTTGTTCCATGAGCCAACTATATCTAATCTTGCATTTAGTTCACTACTCGTTCTCAACAGAAGTCCTCTGCAATCTAATTTAGTATCCCCATTCTACAGTGAAAAAGGTGTGTCAACCAGAGGAATGACTGTCCAGCCCTCAAAACATCCTTTAGAGGCTCATTAAAATGAGGTAAACCAGAACTGTGAAGCAGTTAATAAAATCAGGAAGGGATTGCTGATGTACCGTTTTCCACAGTACCAAACATAATGAGTCAAGGCAACTGGCATCTTAAAAAGCAACAGTATGTATTATTTGAGACGTAACAGGCACTGAAACTCATACAACACACGTTGCAGAACCACAATCAAACTTCTCAGCTCACGGCACCGCACAAGGTAAGCTGCATTCCACCTCCGTTTCTGGCTACTGTTCTGTTTTGCTCAGAAATTGCTCTGCCTTCATGAAATGACCCAGTGAATAAATGGTATCACAGAATCAATCCATGAGCTCTGAATTCTGAGGGACATGGTAAAGCACCGATTCCCTCAACTCCAGACACAACCTTCCTCACGATTTCCCCAGAGTTTACACCAACGTGGCCGAGGACCACCGCAAGCCCACCTTCCCCGTGGCCTCCAGCCGTGCACGCTCACGCTTCTGGGCTTGCACTCACTGACTGCCTTGAATAGCTCAGGGATGTAAACTGGCAGGGCTCACCTTACAAAAAGGCACGAATGATCAGTTTGTCTGGGGCCCTGTAACTGCTGCAGGGCCCAACTGTGAACACCGGCATCTGCTGTACCACTGTGTCTCAGCTGACAGGGTGACAGCATCTTAAACCCTTCCAGCAAGACCATACAGTCTTTTAGGATGTCGCTAAAATCAAAGCTGCTGCATTCTCCACTGTCCCCTTTCCCATCACAGCTTCTGATTCCCACCTCCTTTTCCGAGGTACCTCTGATGTCCACGCCAATTAATTACATGGCGATTAGGTCAAAAACTAACCCAGAAATAAAGAAAGTGATTATTTCTCAGCTGGTTCAGCTCCCCAAGTCAAATCCACTGGCCAGCCCCAGGAGTGGCAGTGGAGAAAGGACGTACAGCCAGCACGCTGTGGGGCACGTGGCGGGACTGCAACAGTCCTGGCTTACAGCGGCACAAAAAGCTGCAGAACTTCACCTCCAGGTTGCAACGAGGAAAAAAAGAAATAGAAGAAACCTGTGTTTCAAAAGCATGGCAACCTTGGGTAGGCCATCTGACCTCACACCTCAAACTGGGCAAAAAAGGACCTTATTAAAGCAAAATAAAGTAATAACAAAAACACCAGTGCCTATCTGAATTACTTTCATACTCACGCCAATTAAAAAGAATGAAAATCCTTTATGTTTTCTACTCTTCGTTCTACCAACACGATCCAACATGAACATTTACAAAATTACTCATTAAATAGAAAATAAAGGATTAGTCTTCAGACACCCACAGCCCGCTGCTGACACAAGCTCCTTCACTGCAACAACAAATTTGCAGATATCTCATTTGGAAGCTTTTCCCTGCAAGTCTGCTCCAGCTTTCTCACAGTAGCAGAAATCCGTATTTTGCCATTATCCTTTAAGTCGTGATAAATACATTCTGTAGTAGCTGTTCTCCAGACAACTTCATTCAGGCCTCTCCCCCTTTATTCCTCAGTTCTAACAGGGAACGGTTTCTGTTTATGACTTCCTTTCCTGCACAGAGCACCTAACTCCCATGTTTTCTCAAAAGCCTGAGATTTCCTTCTAATTGTGACCCCAACAAAAGTGCTCGGAGCACTATTCTGTGCAACTTTTCATTCGGGCTCTCAGTGACTCCACATGGTTGGAGACCCACAGGTCAAACCCTCCAGATATCAGAGGAGTTAGGAGAGGGAAAGCAAGCATTGTATAGAATCTGACGGGCCATTAGAAGTAGCTAATAAAGCCATATTTTGTTTGTAGCCATTTGTTACCAACCCACATTACAAATTTGTCTGCTTTGAACTTTATGGGAACATTCATGCCAGGACTTTTATATACAATGTGTGAAGGAAACGGGAACAACTATTGAGCTGTTTAGCTGCGCTTAACTGTGACACAAACCTGCTGAAAAACTCCCCCAAAGGATGACACAAGCCAGCATTCAGTGCTGCAGAAAGTGGCCAGCTCCTCTTCAAATCCATCAAAGGGAAACTCTTGTTTTCAAAGCCACATCAGAGAACACCATTCACCACTTAGTATTACATCTCCTTTGTTGTCTTTAAACGCTTGTATAAGCTTGCTATGTAGCTGCTGTGATTTTACACAATGCCCTTAAGAAATAAAAAGATAACGGGCAAACTGTATAAATATCAGAATGCCATGAAACAAAACATACACTTTTATTAAAACTTGGTTAACACCACTGCTATTGTTTCAAGCTTCCCTGTACAAAGATGACTTACTGACTACCCTCCATAACAGCATTATCTTGCAAACAAGCTTAAACAGCCATATTTAGCATCCCAAAATGACACTATAACTGGGAATACTACACAAGGGATAATCATCATGGGTTTTCATAAGCGGTCTAAAACTGAATGCAGAACTCTTGCTCCAGGCGGGGGGAAACCCAAACCAAAAGTTTGTACGGTCAAGCTATCCATACCCCAAAACAGAGTTATATTAAAGCATTTATCATGCTCACCATACTTAGAATGTATGGATTGTTCCTAATTTCTAAGACATTCTCCTTGGAAGTAACATGATAGGGTGTTCACTCACACAACCAAGAAAAGCGTTGTCACCGCATAGGAAGGGCTGCAGTTGTTTTTAAAATTGAAAAAGAAAACAAACAAACAAAATGAACACCCCACACAAAAAACCCAAACAAAAACAAAATACACAATGATATCTCCCATTCCCCTCCATATCCAAACAGCAGTGGTTGTGAGTATACAAAGTGCTCTCGGGTTAAGTAGCAAGGCTTTTTGGTAAGGAAGTGTCTCAACAACAGCATTTGGGACCAACTCAGGGTTTAAGTTTTGTGGCCAAAATGATTAACATTCACTGTTAATACTACCAGCTTACTCATACCTATAATAATAATGAGCTGCTAAATATACCAAACACTCAGGGACACAGGTAATACCCAATACTCTGCTTAGATATCATGAAGATGAAGATAGGACAGAACATGGATTAAAAGTAGGACAATCGTTTAAGAAAAACCACAGGCAAATTAGTAGAACATTAGTCGATAAATAACTTGACTTCTCTCTACGCTAATACACACTGATCATGAAAAACAGGGAAGTAAAATGTCCCTTTTAATATCTCTGCTTTTTAAAGTACGAAGTGGTTGCCAACAGTTCAATGTCCACAGGAGCTGCTATTTTTAAGGTAATCGCCAGCACTCATTTTTGAGACTTGCTCAGAGAAATTAGTCTTTTTAAGAAAGGTTTCCCGAAAACTGTCGAATTAATACTAGTTCAAAGCAAATGGATATCTCCTCTCACACCAGTTTCCATAGTTTCTCCCAAGACATGCATGTCCCAAACGTAACGTAAAGAATTTGTGGCACATCGATTCTCCTAGGTGCCAAAGAGAACTTTAAAATGCTACGAAGATGCTTATTTCGAGGGGTGGACAATCATGCCACATGCCAGAGCTAAACATACAATGTTTATACTGCCAGATTTCACAAATACATTTGGTGTCTTGATAACATAAACTCTTCAGAGACCCCTCTGCTACCTGGAAATGAACACATATCCAGTGAGCTGCAGGAAATAACCTGTATTTTTAGAATACATTATTCCACAACAGAGGTCACAGCTTATAAACAGTTTTCATCATGTAAGCTGAGCATATTCTAGTTGGTTTAAATTCATGCTGGTTTATTATCACCAAACAAGAAAAATGCCCAAACCAACGGGGGCACACAGAAACAAGGCCAAGGAGTACTTTATCTATTACAGTGAAGTAAAACCTTCAAAAAATGCAAGTAGCTGCAGTATCTTTGCAAAGTACATTAATTTGTGCTCTTTGCCCCACAGCAGAATGCTTAGGGCTCAGAAAAACTAAGAAAAGTTAGTCCAAAATAATCTCCTAACCAAAAGATCGACCCAGCCCAAGTATCACTATCATTCCCACTTCTACAATTATGTAGCCATAGACAGTAGCAGAATTGACAAGTCAAACTCCTTACTGATGCTCTGGGTTTGGATCAAGCAACTCCTGGCGGCAGTATCCTTAACCAGAAACTACTGAAATCCTTCAAAAAGGGCGCAGAAAAAAGCCTCTTCCTCACCAGATCGTTTTGGGCAAGCATGGAATTCCTAAAGCTAAAGACACCAATCCGTTTCCTCTATGCATATACACACGTGCACAAGTACAAAACATGCATGTGCACAAACTGTACTATTTTGAACCAGAACAAGCCTAAGCTAAGTCCGCTCATACACAAAACCTGACTGTTCTCACCATGTTTTTTTAAAAGGTTTGTGATCAACCTCTTAATGTTTCTTCTTGCAATATCTCTCATCCAGTCATCCTGGATGCAATGAAATCCTGTGTAACGTGCTTTCATTTTAAAATACTGAAACAAACATTAATTTCTTACTGGTAAGCTCGATGGTCTTTCTTGCTGGATTAGATTCAAGTCTTCATGGTTAGGCTTTCCTGGGGCCATAGGAGGTTGAGATCTGGTTCCATAGCCTTCCTGAGACATGTCCTGCAACAACAGTTGTAACAGAATTATTAACCTGACTCAGTAATTACATCTGCATCACAGAAGTGTGAAAATACAACAGCTGAGTACTGATGTTTTTATCAGAAATTTTTACTAGTTAAACCTTCATGATGGATCAAGCCCGCACAGGTACCAGTATGACCTGCACTGTTTATAAAAAAATCCAAGGAGCAGAGTGATGTGCTGACAAGCAGCAGGGAATCATACCACTAGAACACAGGAACACACACAAAACCAAACCTGCTAAATATACCACCCCCTTTTACAGTAAAAGAGTAGTAAGCACAAAGTGGTCAAAACATTCATCCTACTGTCAGATGTGTTCTCAAGTCTTTTGATGAAGTACTGAGCCAGGTGGAAGAGTGACTTGAAAGTAAGACTGTAATCACGCTGTGTATCAGGTTCCCGTAACAACCCTGGATTTACCGCTGCTACTACTGGCACAACTTTCAGACACTGCCTACCGGGTCCTAGCACACAATGCACACTCCCTGCATCTGCTGGAAGCACGTTCTGTCCACCTGTTCGGAAGAAAAGCGTATTTGATCCAGAGTAGCTCCAAAGCCCCCCATCAGTAACCTGGGGAATTTCCTCCCTACGCAAGCCCAAGCAGTCCTAGGTAGTGGCCTAACACAACACCCATCACACAGAGGCGAGGGGAGCAACTCCCCCTGCCATCCCCCATCCCACAACACAGGCTTAACTTCACACGTGTAAGATACTTGCCCATTGCAAATCCTTAGGTTCAGGCTTCCTTTTTATAGCAGCTTCTACACTAACTTCTTCCAAGGAAAACAGAGAGCGCAATACTGGCTTCAGCATGCGTAACCGGTGGGGGAAGTTGGAGAACCAGTTCCCGACTGCTAGAAAAGATATCTCACCTTCAAGGATTTTCTTTGTTGCTTTTAAGTGGTTGAAATTCTCCTCTCCCCCTCCCGAGTTTAGTATCAGTTTAATTTGCTCCAGCCACCCTCACACCTTCAGTTTTGACACGTACCTGGAAGCATGCAGGCGCTGCTGGCACGAAGGGGCAGGGAAGCTGTCCTCTGTCCCACCCCACCACTGCGTACAAAGGGCTGTTCGGACAGCCGAGGGTCCGTATCGGCGGAGCTACTGCTCACGCACAGACTCGGGGAGACAGCTGGCTTGCAGGGCAGGACAGCTTTTGGGCTCTGTTTTTAGCCCTGCTCCTGACAGAGGGAAATTTGTTACAATCGCACCGTTTCCACGCAGCCCCTTCCATCGCTTTGGACCCTCCCAAATTATTTTAAGGGGCGCAGAAAATTCAACAGGGCTAACAAAACGAACCCCAGCAAACCTGATGTGATGTAAACCCAGCAATAACCGATCTCGGCCGTAAGCCTGTGCCAAGTAAAATCAAGGAACACTTAAAAGGCCAGCACTTCAATGTGGTTACCAGCAGAGGGTAACAATTAGGCTTAAGGGTGACAAAGGCTGATGGCTGAATGATTATTATCCCCAGTGACCCCCCGTGCTCCCCCCCGCCCAGATTTCCACTTGTCACACAGCTCTCCTGCTGCGCACACCAGCAGGTTCCTGTGGATTAACAGTGAGGTTTAAAATCAACAAATGGCACAAGGCCTCCATTCAGCAGCCTTCACCCCAGCACAAAGGAGTAGAAAGGTGCAGGACAGCTTCACAATAGGCAAACAAATGAGCAAACCTCTGCTTTCCTTTTTATTTGAAAACGCGCGCGCAGGCACACACACACACAGGGACACGCATGCTAGGGGCTGTCACCGTGTAGGCAGCTGTAATAAACCCAGCAACTCCAGGTTTCAGCTTCCAGTTCAGCGTTCTACTCTCTTCTTCTAAATTCTTAAAAAAAAATATACCAAATAAGAACCACTTGTTAAAACAACAGCAGCAACACACCATCCAGAAATACCAAGAGTGGTGAAAAAGGATAAACGGAATATTCAATTTAGGAGACATCCTTCTAGAAACACAACTGTTACTTTTTCCAAACAGACACTACAGGATTTCACTGGGAAGCAAAACATGTTTTGTATTTTGAAAAATCAAGAGAGCTTAATTCCTTACAAAGTCCCAAGCACAGTTTTTCCCACATGTCTGAAAGATTTTTAACCTCACTTCCTACTGAAATTTCCAAGGGGACTGGAGAGGGAGTAGGAAGAGCCAACATGCTTTCTCACAAGAAATACTGCATGTTGAATGGAATTAGCTTTTACCTGGGTATTTGAAAACCATCTGGAAAGGCCTTTCCACACACACTGAGCAGCACATTAAAAGCCCCAGACATGACACCGTTTGTCTTTTTAAATGCATCGTTTCCATAGTGGTTTCCTTTCTGATTGTGGAAAAATCAACTCTCTTCGCTCAATTCTACATGAGGTTTGGAAACAAATACCGCAGACATCAGTGTTTGTTATGATGCAGACACTTGTGCGCTCCAAACCGGACTGAGATCACATGCTCTTTCTTAAATTCTCTGTAAAGCCATTTAGATACTTGGATCACTCTAAACTTGGAAAGCGGCTCTTGAGAAGTGAAGAACCCATTTGTGCTCAGTAAGTTGCAGGCATGGGAATCTCCCAGATGAAATATGCATGGGGCTGTGTTTATAATTTCATGTGTTTATACATTTGCATTGTCCAATAAAAATAGTCCATTTATATACTAAACACAATGACAATTAAATAATAGTGTAGCTCACTATGTGGTTGGCTTCATAACCAAAACAGTGCTTAGTATCATTTTCACTGAAAAACAGAGGAGGGAAAATCCCTGTTGTCTTTCTTCAGTTCTGCATTAGGAAATTTTGTTAACCTACAGCACATTAACAAGAGATCCAACAGATTTTCAGAGATAAGGAAGAACTAAGGACAGAACTATTCGGGGAAATTGTCTCTCACTGAAGAAATGCACAGATTTGGCAATTTTCACTTTCAGTTTTTAAAGGTCATTTTTCATTCTAGCATCTAGCAATGGATTTACTGGGTACTGAACAGAGGGAACGTAAGGGGAAGAGGAACATGTTACCACGTGTTGTACTACAGTTGTGGCTGAAGAGTCCTGCATTGATATTGGGGCTCCAACTTCTCCTGGGATCCCTGATTTTTTCTCTTTTCACTTCCAGTATTTTATCCATCAATGACATTGGCTTTCAAAGCAAAGCCTGTGATTTTTTTTTATGAATCACAGAAAATCCTTCCTCCTGTAGAAGAGCATGTGTGTAAGAGAGAGAAATTGAGGCTTTTATAAACAGAAGGCTACAAGTTTCCACTCAGAACTTCCCAACTTGGCACAAGCCCAATCATATCATAGCTGTTATAGCACAAACTGTCAACAAAGTTGTAAAATAACTAAAAGCAGGGTTTTCCCCCATCAGATTTTAGAAAAAGCACTGGGACAATCTGCAAGTCACAAACATATACTCAAAATAGCTAAAGTTTACACTTCTTAAGAGTTGTAAAAATAATTTTATACTATGAAACAGTTAAACATGAAAACACAGGACTATGCCTACACCCTAAAACCTATGTATTGGGTAAGCTGTTCAGAAATCAATCCATATACAGTTACTATATTTGGGTAATAATAACAATCAGTTAGTTACCATCCACGAAACCAGGACTAGTTATTTACCTCCTGTTCACATACACCTTTAGCTTGCTTTGCAGACTGAGGTACATGCAACTCAAGATTTGTGTAGTCTGAGGACTAAAGGAGGAAGAAGCAGGGTGTTTTCTTCCCTCTTATTCTCTGTTACTGTAATCATCTTACAAACTTTAAAGTCTCTAATTCTAGTGTGAGATTTCATTAACAGATGTTTAAAGGGCCAAGGGAGCCAATATACCAGCCTGCAACAAAGTCCAAGTCCCCTTGCTCCTGTCTCCCCTAACTCTTGCAGCTAAACACAAAAGCCTTTAGTTAGTTTGTGTTAGTGGTCTTTATTAGGCCGCTTTGTGAAATGATGCAACTTAAAACTTGCCAGAGGAGTAACCCTTTCCCCCTCAGCTTTATAATTTCCCACAGCATTCTCCTGGAGAAACTAGCTGCTCATGGCTGGGGCAGGCACACCAGGTTAAAAACTGGCTGGATGGCTGGGCTTAGTACTGAGGACAGTTCTCTTGAATATCTTTATCAATGACCTGGATGAGGGGATCAAGCGCACCCTCAGTAAGTTTGCAGACAACACCAAGTTGGGCAGGAGTGTTGACCTGCTGGAGCATGAGAAGGCTCTTCAGAGGGATCTGGACAGGCCGGATCCATGGGCCAAGGGCAACTGTATGAAGTTCAACAAGGCCAAGTGCTGGGTCCTGCACTTGGGTCACAACAACCCCCTGCAACGCTACATGCTTGGGGATGAGTGGTTGGGAAGCTGCCCAATGGAAAAGGACCTGGGTGCATTGGTCAACAGCTGGGTGAATATGTGCTGGCCGCATGCCCAGGTGGACAAGAAGGCCACCAGCATCCTGGCTTGTATCAGGAACAGTATGGCCAGCAGGAGCAGGGAAGTGATTGTGCCCCTGCACTGGGCACTGGTGAGGCTGCACCCTGAATCCTGTCTTCAGTTCTGGGCCCCTCACTACAAGAAAGACATGGAGGTGCTGGAGCATGTCCAGAGAAGGGCTACAGAGCTGGGGAAGGATCTGGAGCACAAGTCCTGTGAGGAGCGTCTGCGGGAAATGGGGTTGTTCGACCTGGAGAAGAGGAGGCTCAGGGGAGACCTTATCGCTCTCTACCTGAAAGGAGGTTGTACCAAGGTGGGTGTTGGTCTCTTCCCCCAAGTAACAAGTGATAGGACAAGAGGAAATGGCCTCAAGTTGCACCAGGGGAGGTTTAGATTGGATATTGGGAAAAATTTCTTCAAGGAAAGGGTTGTCAGGCATTGGAATGGGCTGCCCAGGGAGGTGGTGGAGTCACCATCCCAGAAGGGATTTAAAAGACGTGTAGAAGTAATGATTGCTTTTATGATTCTGTAACTACTGAACAGA